AAGACGATGGGGCCCCACAGTGAGCGGAGGAATGCGTGCAGCGGGAGCAAAAAGACGTCTTTGTGCGTCTTGTGAGGTGATGCCGATCGTGGACTTTTCGCCTTTTCACTTCTTTTTCTTGGCCAAAGCCTTGTTCTGGCCTTGTTTGGCTTCTTCTGGCAAGGCCAAAGGATTGCCTCCGGGCTTGACCTGAACTCCTACACCTGCGACGAAAGCTAGCCTGACGAGTCCGATGAAGGCGTACCCAGCAATGTTGCCCCAATCCTGTCCGCGCCATTGTGAAGTGTCGTTGAGCTTTCCTTCAAGGGAAAGGCCCCTTGCAAAGCCGAGCAACATGAAAGCATCCACGAAGAAGATGGAAAGGTTTAACGTTTGCCACAGCGCTGCGTCGGCGCGTCAAATGGGGGATGATGTAAAGAGTCGAGATGGTGTGAGAGGAGGCGAATGTGGAGCTTGTCAATCATCGCAGAGGGAAATGAAGAGGTTCGGTAGACTCTTGCTAGAAGTGCACTCATACTCACCCCAATCTTTGGGTCTTGTGGTGATGGCAAAGATTTGCAAAGTGATCAGAGCGACGTACCAACCTGCCATCCCATCCAGCAAAACCCTCGTCTCTGGCGCAGGCGGCCAGACCGGACCCCGCTTGGCTCCGGTGAAACCTGCCAAGATGACATCTTTTGCGGCGAAAATGTGCCCGTAGGTTCCAAAGATTGGAAGCAAAAGGTCGAATGCTCCGAAAAGGACGCGATAGGCTAAGGGCATCTCAAAGGACATGGTGAAGGTGCGATTTGAGAATGCGGCTTTTTGTATGGAATGGTCGAGCGAGCGAGATCAAGTGTCGGTACAAAGCGGATTCGGAGAATAGTGGAATCGGCCACTCGTGACTATTTCCAAAGATTGCGAGGCTTACGGAGTTCAAGAGAATAGCAGAGCAAGGCGCGTTATATATGTACCGGTATATGTGTAAAGAAATCGAGTCGTGAGTGTCGCTCGCTCGCTCATCAGATGGCAACCAGCAGCCTGGCCAGCCCGACGAAGACCCGAAGGACTCGAAAGCCCGCTCAGGCACGGAGCGCTCACTGCCCATGAAAGCTGACGGACGCTGTTCGGCTCAGATTACAAGTCTGAAGAGTGAGTGAGTGCATCGTGCCACAATCTGCCTGTGCGCACAATATCTGCGTACCTGTGGCTGGCTGTGCCCGCCCCGCCGAACTTGAC